TTTTTTTTTTTTCATTTTTCTTATGCTTTATCACTGTCCCATTTTTCCCCTTTTCGTTTATTCTTTCTGATTTATGGGTGTTTTCGTCTTACTTATTCCTTCTCTTTCTTTTCCTCTCCTCGAAATGACTTGCAGGGTCGAATACTAGTTTTTGTGGTGGTAGATCGAAAACTCCAGCGGATTGCTGAGAAGGAAACTGGAGGAGCTGTTCACTCTCTTAATGCCTTCAATGGAAAATTGCTTGCCACGATTAACCAAAAGATTCAGTTGTATAAGTGGATGCTGTGTGACGATGGATCTGGTGATTTGCAATATGAATGTGGTCATCATGGGCACGTACTTTCCCTTTTTGTACAAACTATGGGAGATTTCATTGTTGTTGGTGATCTGATGAGGTCGATATCCCTGCTGACTTACAAGGTTAGCTTTCCATAACTCGTAAAGTTTTGAGCATGTAAATACAGAAGTACCCCTGAGATTTCACTTAATTGTTAACTGCCCTAAACATCTGCAAGAGAACTGCTAAATAAAGCTGAAAAACTGAATTCTTAATTGGTTGTTCAACCTGTTTGAATCTCAACCTTTCTGTTTTCTGTCCCATTTTCTCAAATATGACCTAACTTGTATGCCCGTAGTTGTTTAATTATTATTACTTTTTTTATTTTGTTGGCAATAAATTATATTGGTCAACAGGAGGGTGCAACCGAGGAGCTGGCCCGTGACTATGCAAACAACTGGATGTCGGCTGTGGAGATTTTGGACAATGACACCTACCTCGGGGCCGAGAACAACTATAACCTCTGCACTGCCCGCATGAACAGCGCCGTTGAGGAGCAGGGCCAGCTCGAGATCGTCGGCAAATACCACCTGGGTGATTGTATCAACCGCTTCCACCACGGTTCCCTTATTATGCGCCTTCCCGACTCTGATGTGCCCCAAATCCCCACTATTATATTCGGAACCATCAGCGGGGCAATTGGGGTCGTTGCCTCCCTTCCCCACGAGCACTACATATTTTTGCAGCATCTACAGCAGAATTTGAGGAGGGTGGTCAAGGGCGTGGGTGGTCTGGACCACGAGAAGTGGAGATCACAGGCAGGCACGCATGGTTTTCTGGATGGGGATTTCATTGAGTTGTTTCTTAAATTGAATAGGAATGAGATGGAGGAGGTTTCAGGTTTTATGGGAGTGGCTGTGGAGGAGTTGGTGAAGCGGGTGCAACAGCTGACTAGGTTGCATTGAGTGTCTTGTATGTAAGAATGCCTTAACCTTTTACTTTTGCTATCATGAAACAAATTAATACTAGGTTGCATCTGAGTGTCTTGTATGTCAGAATGCCTTGACCTCGTTTGCTATCATGAAAGGAAGTAAATACTGAACAAGTATACTATCTGCAGCCACAATTATTTTGATTACATCTGTCCAAGCTCAAATCTAGCTACAATTGAGACTAGTGCTGAAATGTTGGTTTGGGTTCTTAAGTACTCGACTGCAATTGCAAAAGAAAAGGATTGACTGTGATGTGTGGTGTCCTATCTATGGTGAGGAGAAGGAGGATCTAGATCACATTTATTCAATTGTTATAGAGCAAAAACTTGTTCGAAATTGGTGGGTATTAGTTGGAATAACAGTTAAAGAATGCTTCCTTTAAAAACTGGTGGTTTGAGGTTTGCTCTATGGGAAGTGGAGCATGCCTTAGAGATAGGCTTAACCTGTTATGGTGGCTATGGAAGATTAGAATGACAGGTTGTTTGAAAAGGTGTGGATTGTAGAAAATATAATTGCTAAAGGTGCCTTTGAGGAGTGGACTAAATTTTCAGTAGTCTTGGATTCAAATTTGAGCTAAATGAGAGAGAAGTTGATGGCGTAGGCAGCTATTAGTAGCTGACGCATGACAGTGCTCTATCATCCACTAAATGTTCGTTGAGCTTAGGAGGTGGTGTCTTCAGAGAAAGAAGTTTGATCCAAACTTGTCGGAAGCAATGAACATTTTGGGGAGCTAGGGAAGAGGGGACCTTCTTGCAGTTAGGTGGATTCTGGCGAAAGCGGTGCAGCTCAAGGTTACCTCTGTTTGCTGGTGTGTGGACTATAGTGCTTTGGCCTCAAATTTAAAGTATCAATTGTCTTTGGCCTCGAATTTAAAGTATCAACTGTCTTTCAACAGTGCTTATAGAATTATTGCTGAAGACAGATATCAATGTTTTGGCTTCATCGTTGATTGTTTGTAATTTTGTTTGTAATCATTCTTTGTGTATGTCCTGTAAGTCTTTAGCAAATATAGCTGTGGAGGGAGAGTTGAAGTGCTACTTCCCTGGTTATGAAGGAGCCCTAGATCTTGCTTATTAAGGATTGATTGCCTTCATTTGTAGTCATATCACTAGTTGGCTGTACTCTTCACGGTTTTGCTATGAAGCCCACAGTTGGCTCCATAGTGGAGCCAACCTTCTATATACAACAATTAAACCTATCATATTAATAAAATTATGTTAGTGTTATTTAAGTAATAAGATAATATGGGAAGTTTACTTGTTGTATATAGAAAGTTGGCTCCACTATGGAGCCAACTGTTGGTTTCATAGCAAAACCGGTATTCTTCAATCTTTCATTTGAGTTTTTGTATGAAGTTTCATTTTGTCGGTGACAAAAAAAAA